TTCAGAGAAAGGCGGGAGCCTACCCCTACACAATTAGACGAGCGCACTAGCAGGTTGTGGTCTGATCTGTCCTCGATGGACAACAAATCCAAGGAGACCTAGTTAATTCATGGGATTATTTTTTTATAAAATTCAAATAACTACTAATATTTACTTAGTCTCTAACTTTGATTAATCATATTTAGGTCTTCTACGGTTAGTTGTGGGTCGGACACATCTCACGATCCTTCTGAGTACGACCTCTGGAGGGATGCTGTCGACAATAACATGAGGGGCAGACTCTATGGGTTGGGTTCCAAGGCCCAACCTCTATAACATTAGGAGCATCTACTTTCACTACATAGGAGGAGAAGATGCATCGACAAGTTGCTGATGAGATTGCTGCCTAAGTCTCCACCCACGTATCCACTCTGAGATCAGATATGGAGTGCAAGATGAAACACAGATCAAAGCGGTGTTGCACACTAAACTGCAAAAATAGAAACAACCAATTCAGGATGAGGATGAGGATGAGGAGGATGATGATGATTAGAGGGCATTGGAGGATGTGTAGGGGATTATTTTCTTATGTTTGTTTGTATTTTAAATAATTTATTGGTCACAATCATTATTTTTATTGGATAGTTGTTCATTTCATTTGGTTTACTGCAACTATTTTTTTTTTTTTGTATAAGATTTATGCATTAATTAATTTCATTAATGTGTTGTGATGTGCGTTGATTGCACTATTATGCTTGCAGGTATGTAAAATGCAGTGTTGAAGGAGGGGTTTTAATTCTTTTTCTGATGCTACAGGTTTTTGATGGCTTACCAAAGATTTTTACAACTCTTTGATTATGTGCATACAGTTTACTGGCAGTCAATTGACGCCTGAACAGAGTTTTTAACTTTTGCTCTAGATCAAAACTATCGATAATTTTCTATGGTTAACTGACGATGGTGTTACAATTTATCGACGAATCTAATCACTACACTTTTTTGACAAAGGTGCAACACTTTTCATACAAATATCAATGTCGGTTATAAAATCAACGGTCAAGCAGCAGTTAAACATTGCATGTTTTTTGGATTACCATTGACAGTTTTGTACATTGAATAATCTTCGATTAATACGAAATCGTAGATAAACTGTCTTTTACTTTTATTACTGAAAAGTATTTTTTCTACATCAAATAAATTGTATCTAAATTGTTGTTAATCATATTACCTACAGTTTACTCATTATTACTGAAGGTATTTGACCATAAGTAATATGCTAAATTTGTGTAGTGTGGATATATTAATTGTGTGTTCAATAATCACCCTTCAAAGCATGAATCAGTCTATGAAATAGTTGCATGAAGGTAAATTGCATTGGGACATAAAGAGGTCGGCAAATTCTTCTAACATAATTAGGCTTCAACTCATCAAATACAACTATATCGTCGTAAAATAAAATGAAGGTTGAAAGCTACCAACTCATGTTTCTATTCAACCTACCTAATAAAATCTAGGTTGAGTCACAATACAACATTAGTGTTTAAGTGTGTTTTCTATTCTACACCAAGTGATGTGCCACTTGTGCATGATGGCATAAATTTGGTGGACAGTTAAGATTATAGAATGATTAGTTCAATATTTCATAATTAGCATTAAAGTGAGGCTTAATTATAGAAAATGGCTAAATTTCTTTGATAAAAAAGTGAGAGGTCATTCAAATTGTAAATTTATAATGTTTTCTAGCAATTGACGGTACATTGAAATCAATAGACATGTGGATAAGACATCATTTTCTTAAGCCAGTCATAATAGATGACATGGATCAACATTTAAGCCTTCAATACATTTATCATTCAGATGCTACGAAATAATAAAATATCCAATTTGAAATTTATTTTTTATCTACAGTTCTCTTTTTTATTTAAAAAAAAAATACCCTTCCTATTATAAATACATAGAGTATTTTTAGTGATTAACATTATTTTCTTGCTACTAATCATAAGAAGTATAATATTGTTGTCTTGAAATTCATAAATTTAAATAAACTCATATAAATTTCTTGGTTATTTTGAACCACATTTCTAAATTTTTTTATCTGTTTACAATTCTAGAATTGAATTTGTTTATGATAAAATTACTTTTGGAGGTGAATGAAGGAAATATGAGGAGATATTTTAAAATGAAGGTTTATTTGTGGTTTTAAGGAAATTTTTTTTTGAGATTGCGACTCTGTTACAATCTTAAAAAAACCATACTTTATCAAATCTTTAAAATATTTAACTCTTAAAAAAATAAAATTAAATTTCTTATCAGACAACAAAATATTTAAAATAGCAAATTTTTATGCCTATTAAAATAAAAACCTTTAAGTTATTTTTAAAATAGCAATTTAGGCCTTCATCTCATTCTATATATTTACATTCATAATACTAAATTATAGTACTTTTAGATTCAATACTTCCTTATTTTCACAATTTTTTTTATAATTTTGATTGATACTAAATAATTTGAATTTCGTTTGTAAATATGAGATGATATAGTAGGGTTAGCCCCACCATATAAGGAAAATAATTATGCGGGAATATTTTGGTCAAAATTAGTTTTTAAATATATTAAATTAATCTCAAAAAAAATTTCATCCTTAATATCAATGTAAATAATTATTAACCTTAAAAAGTGATTTCTTGATACTATGACATTACACACCCCTTCAAGTATGGCAATCTCCAATGTGTGTCACCACCTACACCATTCACATCTCTAAAATTTTTTATCTTTTTTGCCTTTGCTTTCATTTTCTCTTACCTTTACTTAAATTTACTACAAAAGATACCATATAAAAATATATTTAAAAAATGCAATGTTAATATAATTTTTTATTGTTTCTACAAAAAAATTAAATAATAAAGAAGTAAACTTCCAATTATTTTACAATGGGCAAAATAAAATTATATTTAATGGATAAAAGGTGAAGTTCCATACACATTACAAAATTCGTCAGTATTTACATATCTTACATAATTATATATCATTTTAGTATCTAAATCATGTCAAATGTGTGTATGAGTAGATGACTATCAATAAGTTAATGTTAATGGTATTCAATAAGTGATTTAAGGATTTGGTAAATAAATATAAGAATTAGGTATTAGATTTTTAGATATGTATAAGAATTTAATAATAAATATCATTCTCCCTTGGTACAAAAATATGAATTTTATGTTGATATTAATCAAGGCAAAGAAAACTCAAGTGAATCTTTTTTTGTATGCACACAAAACTAATCATAATGAGAACTTACATATTTCTTCAAGGCTAATTTGTCATTGCCAACATATTTGCATGGAATTTGTATTAATTTTCTCAAAGTATTTAATAACTTGACTCTCCTATTATAGAAAAGATTTAATATGACATTACAAATGTGATAATTCAATTAAATTTAATACATTTTCTAATAAATTCAAATTCACATATCATAAATTAAAATAACAATAAAGAGAAAATTCAAATAATAATACAATAGAAATGTTGACATTAAGGATGCGTAATGATGAAACCATAAAAAAACACTAGAAATTTACAGAAAAAAAAAGAGAATAAAAAATGCAGAAAATTAAACAAATGAAATTTATAGAAATAAAAAAAGTAAAAACAACTTAAACCTCACTATTTCCTCTGGATAAGAGCAAAATCAGTAAAATTCAAACTTCTAAAAATTAGAACTCTATTTAGTGTCCATTCACAAAATCACATTCTTATTTATAGGATTTCTATAATTTGATTCATGCATTCTCCAAAGCTGCACCAATGCCTTAACTCCGCGTACTCAGATCAGTTGATCGGGCATATGCTTGTCAGTTGTAAGTCCCCCTTGGTCTGGGATTCAATTCTCCCGGAATGTATTGTGTGGTACTCGAATTATTAGGCACTTGAGGCATGGTCATGGCTCGTATAATAGCCTTTGGCCATTCCCTTATATTCACAAACGGTTTGATTAAGTCAATTAAATTGAGCCGGTTTTAGAAAATTCTTTATTTTTTCAGTGCTACAAAATTATTTCTTTGGATTATTTAGGTACATACCTCCTCGTGTTCGGTTCGTTTATATTTCGAACTCAAAAAGTGTGTTCGTGTTCGGCTCGTTTGCTTAGCGAGCTGAGCACGAGACACGAGCCGTTCACGAACAAAGAGTCGTTTTGACAACCCTAATCCTGCAGTCATAAGATGTTAAGAATTTCGAAAAAATTTAAAACATCATTTGAATTTAAATTAATAATTATTATTCTATTTTCTTAATTAATACTTTTAATTGATTATAAATCATTGTAGTCTTGTAGTCAATTAAATTTTTTAGAAGCACTACTCATGAAATATATATATATATATATATATATTGATATTAGGCTCTTCCATTAGGCGAAACCCTAGCAGAGCAGCGGGAAGAAAGACGAAGCCATGATATATATATATATATATATATATATATATATATATATATATAGACACACACACACTTGATTTGTAGTATTTCGAGCCAAAACGAGCCAAACAAACACGAACAAATATTTGTTCGTGTTCGGCACGTTAACTTAGTGAACGAGCCGAACACGAGCTTCTCAACGAGCTGTTCGCGAACAACGAGCCGCCCTTAACTCTTATGTATTTGCATTTCTAACACTTAAATTTCAATTTTTAAGGACATATTATTATATCCATGAAAAAATATATTTCATTTTGTTAAGTTAAAATGATGTAGATGTGAAAATTTTGAATGACAAACATGTAAAATGTAGAGTTGAGATGTTTTGTATAGATTTGGCTCTTTATCATAGAAGATCCATGAAAGCAGAATTCAGTAATAATTCCACGCCCAAAAAATTATCCTAAAGTATTTGTCTTTTAGACTACAACAAACAACCACGCGAGACTCCCCATCCTCGCCTTAAGTCCACAATCAGCGCTTAAATTGCCTGCTTCTATCTCCATAGGTAGCAACCTTGTTCTTTGTCATCAGCAGCCATGCATCACTTCAACAAATCTTCATCCATCAATCTTGTTGCATCCCTAACTCTAACCATAGTCCTAACCTCTCACCGCCCTCTCCTCCTCCTCCTCCTCCTCCTCCTTTTTTGCTCAATAGTCGCCTCAGCCGCGTACCTATCATCCCGCCCCTTCCCGGTCTTTTTCCTCAACTACTCATGCCACCAACCCGATCCCGAATACCGCTGCACCTACGAGCTTTGCGAATATATAGGCATGAGCTCCCGCCAATACTCCGACGAGAGCGCCAAATTCATGCGTGCCATATATCGCAAGTCTGGCCTTGGCGATGAGACATACGCCCCTCCTTATGTCTTCCAGCGTGATTTCAATGCAAAGTTTAAGTACGCCATCATCGAGGCTGACGACGGCATGTTCTCCGTCGTCTCATCCCTCTTGTTCAAGTTGTCGGTACCAACGGAGAAGATATCGGTTGTGATTGTAGCTTGCAGCATGTTCTCACCCGCCCCTTCATTGGCTTCGCGACTGGTTAATCGCTTCGGCTTCCGATCGGATGTAAAAACTTTTAATCTCTCCGGTATGGGATGCAGTGCTGGTGCTGTCGGGATGGATTTAGCTGTCCGGATTCTCAAACGTAGTCAAGGCTATGCGCTGCTTGTCGTCACCGAGGCTACGGGTCTCAGCTGGTATGTGTCTGCTCGAGCTTTCATATATATTTTCCCTTTGTTTTTGCATGATCATCTACCTCATTACACACAACGACAGGTACTACGGGGATAACCGTCAAATGCTAGTCACCAACTGCATCTTCCGCGTCGGGGCCGCCGCCACCCTCCTCACTAGCGACCCCGCTGCTAGACACGCCGCAAAATTCGAACTCCTCCACAACCTCCGAACCCACCATGGCGCCGAAGATGCCGCCTACTACGCCGCCTTCCAAGCAGAAGACCCAAACGGTTCCATCGGCGTCTCCCTCACTAAGGACCTAATACGCGTCGCCGGCGTTGCCCTCCGCGACCACATATCCATCCTCGCTCCGCGTGTCCTCCCCATCACAGAGCTCCTCCGGTATGCGTGGCGGGTTGCGATCTCCGTTGCCAAAGGGGAGTCAGCCAAGTCGGATGTGCCAGACTTCACTACGGCGTTCGAGCACATGTGCATTCACACTGGGGGGAAGGCAGTCATCGATGCTGTTGGCCGGAACATGGGCCTCGATGATCGGATCATTGAAGCGGCCCGGATGTGTTTGCACCGGTTCGGGAACACGTCGAGTTGTTTGGTGTTTTACGAGTTGGGGTACTTTGAGGCGAAGGGCCGGGTTAGGAGAGGTGACCGGGTTTGGATGCTGGCTTTCGGGACGGGTTTCAAGGCATGCAGCGTTGTGTGGCGCGCGTTACGAGATGGAAACATGGAGCCGGATTGCCCATGGAGGGATTGTATTCATAGGTACCCCGTGAAGCTGGACTTTGCTATAAAGTAGCGCCAAACTTTAGGCTTGTTTTAATGTGTTAGGGTGGGGAATGGGGATCTACAATTCGGTTAGTAAATGTGGGTGGGATAAATAATGTACGAGGGAGGATTAATTAAATAAGCGTGACAATAATCTAACGTCTATTACTGATATAAAAATTCTTACAGTGATCACCGTATTTCATTTCATCTTTCCTTTTTCCTAAATTATGAAATAGTAAAACGTAGTTACTATAGCAATTTGCTATATACATGGTATTAAAATGGTTTAAGAGCTACGCAGAAAATTTCCGTACGTGTAAAACTTCTCTGCGTGTACAATTTTTTTGTACAGAAAATTTCTGTACGGTATTTGTTGAATCCGTCACATTTTCTAAATATGAACGAATAGAATGGAGAAATTTATAATCTTATCTATGGTTAGAAAAGAGGATAATATCAATGTGTTTTGTTTTATTTATTAATATTTACTATTTATTTATTTATTCCTTAGAGGAGATTCAGTGGAGTCTAAGTATTATATTCATGAAAAATTGTGTAGAGCCATAATTCTCAATAAACTTGCCGACGAACAAATTGTGACATCAGCGACAAGCATCACTAAATTTAAGAAAATATTTATACAAACACGAACAAATTGCGGAAGTTAATTATCTCTCACTCGCCAGCCCCTTTCCCCGAAATATGTGACATCAGCGGCAAGCATCACTAAATTTAAGAAAATATTTATACAAATGTTTTTCATATTTCTAGCTATCTTATTTTTTTTAGAATCCGAAAATATTCAGGAAACACACCCAAAATATAGATCATTCAGCTAATAAGTGATTGGAGAGAGCGAGAGAGGGCATAGTAAGGAACAACAAGAGAGCGTGGTCATTATTCATAAACCCCCTATTTATAGGAATATATTATAGTTACTACAAAATTACAAGTCAGATTTCCTTATTATTTGGTTTGAGGGGGGGTCATTTTAGTAATTATAATAGTATAATAAGGTTGACGAATATATTCGATCGATGAGAAGTTTGTCGACCGCTTGTTGTGCCTTAACTCTATTGGTGCACGATCTGGGACTAAGTAACTCATCGATCAACTTTAGAGTCGATCATCATTCTATAGAAAATTCTTCGTCGCATTGTTCCGATTGCCCGACCCCAACTCCTCTGCTACCATATAATCCTTCAGTCTTCGATAAGGCGCTGAACCGATCGTTCCTTGCTCCAGAACCGTATGTTTGCCTTGAGATTTGTACTAACATATTTTTCATACACATGTTATGTTCCCAAATTCTCTTGCTCCACGAAAGCTGCATGGTACACAAGAATAAGAGAATCGTTTTAACATGCATGAAATAATTAGATGACATTATTATGAAATAATGGATTCCTAGGAATTTTGTGGCCATAAAATGATAAATAGTTCTTGGGGTAAGGAAGGTTTGTGTCGTTTCCTGTTCTTCTCATTTTTTTAGTCTTCCATCTCTTTTTTTGTGTCTGTCATGATGTCTAGTGAGGGAGCATCATCAGCCAACAAGAGTGCCCTCCTTAAGTCCATGAGTATATGTGGGCGAAGGCTCGCGAACCTGACGCGAAGCAAAAACCAGCAAACTAGTCTTCCGCGGGAGAGGTGAGCAAGAAGAGGGTTGTGCAGGGGTCGCGAGTGAGGGAACACAAAGTTCAAACTTGGTCTTTTAGTTTTTTCTCTGGCTCATCACAGGGGTAAGTCACAGAGGAGGTTAGAGGGTGTACTGATGATCGTCTTTCGGGGCACCCATTGAAAGCGCTCACTTCTGTCCAAAGGAGAGGAATGTCTGTTTAGGCTGTTGCAGGGTCTATGACTCTCCAGAGGCTCCGAAGGCACAGGCTGAAGCGAGGACTCGACTTCAGTCATAAAAGGGGGGCCTTTCCTCCAAGGATGGAGGATTAGAGGAGATCAGTGAGGGCTTCGTATCTTACAACACTTCTGAAGTGTTGAGTTTTGGTTATGCAGTTTGAATCATGCCTTTAGTATTCCTTTTGCAGTTGTGTAGGATCTCTGACAATTGCTTCCACTTCCTTAGACACTAACCCCGACCCTGAGGATGTTGTGGCCCTTATGAAAAAAGTCACAGAGAGGGAAATGAAAACCGAGAAGCAGGTTGCTTTGGAACTGAAAACCATGGAACAGGGAACCATGGAGCAGGGCACAGTGGGGTTGGACGGTGTGGCCCAGAGGATAAGGGATAATCCTTCCTATAACGGAGGTAGGAGTGTGGGCGACCAAGTTTCTCCTAGTGTGGCAACAAAGGAGGCGACACTTTGGGGCTCATGTGTATGTGTCGGCACTATTTTTGGTGTGGGGTTTGCCTGTAAGAAGTTGTCGGTCATCAGAATTGAAATCTCGTTGCCTGCTTCGGAAGGACGTTTTAAAAAAAGTTTGGGGTTTCGGTCAAAGTTGGTCAAATTGAGCAAATTGGACTATGGTGTAGTTGGAAAATATGAAATTGGAAATATTTTGCATTTATTGGAATTTTTTTGGGAATTTTTGGAATTTTAAAGGTGAGGCTCGATCAAATAAACTAAAGAATGTTATGACATCTGTTTGGTCTGCGAAACCAATGTATTGGCCGACAAATTCCCCTATTTAATATAAAGTGTTTGGAATGAGTTTTGATCAGTTTTGGGTATTTTTGCAAAAGTGGGGTATTTTGGCCAAATTTGGGTATTTCAAGTGCAATTGGGTAGAGAACCATTTTGAATGAGTCATGGACCAATTAAATCTCCATTTCGGTTCCCCATGTATTGGTCTTAGCCAGGGTATTGTGAGGGATTTTTGGGCCATGGAGGGGCGTTTTGGTAATTGGTGTATTTTAGCTCCAAATCAACACCCAGGGTCAATCCTAAGGCCAAGTAGCCCTATAGGAACTCTCCTTGAGTTCCCTC